TGACAAACGATTTTGTTTCTCTGTTAACATCCAACAAGCAGTCTGTTTATGTATATATTTTACAGTATTGTTTATAACAACTTGAAAATAGGAACCTTTTAAATTGGTAGTAATTGAATTCCTAATTCTTATTCCATTAAATGCTGTTTTATAATGATGATGCTGATGAGAATAATAGAATTGCACGGAAAAAACAGCATTTAATGGAATAAGAATTAGGAATTCAATTAATACAAATTTAAAAGTTTCCTATTTTCAAGTTATCATAAATAATACTGTAAAAAAGAATAACAGAAATAATTTTGTATTTCTAGCATATTTTTTCGGTCCTTCATGTAAACTGTTCATTGACCGTTACATAGCCTCAGAATCGATGTTGGAGACGACTGTAAACAACAGCAAAATGTCAATTTCTACTTACGAATGATCCAAATCAACAAACGTCTTACTATTTGATGCAAATCCACTAAGAAAACTTGATTCATCTAAAGAAATTAAGATACATTTCTTGAGACTCGACCGCCTTAACTGATTCCACCTGCCTCCATACGACTGGAGTCCGACGGAGTCTGCTGTTTCTCTCTTACTTTTAGCCCCGTGAAGTCTCTCGGAGTCAACTAGAGTCAGGTGGAATCAAGCGGAGTCCGTTGACTCGGTGGAGTCCGGAGTCTGCTGTTTCCCACTTGGTCTATAGTCAGTTGACTATAGGTGGTCAGCATGGTCATGGTATAACGCAGTCTTCATCAATGCAACTTTAAAAAAGAACTGCATGAAAAAATTACACGTGGATTAATGTGAAGTGCTACCTTTTCGTAATAAAATTCGTTCTAGACATCCTGACGTGTGTTCGCAAGTGGAACTATTTTACGAAATATTAACGTGAAAAATCCACGCGCGTTCACTACACTTCTCGAGTTTCATTAGCCGTCACGCGGCAGAAATGTCACATATATGTTCTCATGAAAGGGAAAACTTTTCGTGCGCAGTTCGCGACTGGTCACAAACGGCTTTTTTTTGCCGGTTTGATAAACATGGGTACACAGCAAACAATCAAGCGATGAGGAAAATCTACCAAAATATCCAGTTGTTGAAGAACTGGAATGGGGATTGACATCGAAAAGCAAAGCTTTGGCTATTACATGTGGATTTTTCTATATCAAACCATCAACAAATAACGCAGAAACAGCACATACATACAGATGTTTGACACATGCACCTCCAACACCATTTCTTGCACGTCTCTACATCTCTACACAAACGATGGATTTAATTGAATAGAATCAGAAGAACATTCTCATGCACCAGATTCAATTGCTGTACTGTATCGAAAACCTTATGAAAAGATCAAACAACGTGTATTAAACGAATTTATTCCAGTTATGAGAATTGTGGAATACGAATACTGTGGATACAAGAAAGAAGGTCTTGCACAAATGCCAACAATCGTAACAACTAGTGAGTGGATCTTTTTGCTTATTTAAATTGTTATTCACACTCTTTCTCTTCTCCCGATTTCACAGCGAACACAATGTAAAAGATTCGAAGAAACACTATGCCTGCTTTTCCAAAAACATAGCAATTTGATTTCCCAGCAGTTCTGACAACGACTTTTGAGGGACAACAGTTTCTGGTGCATAGTGTCACCCACGATGATTTTGGTAGTCGTCTTTGTATTTTTACCGATCCCTTATCGTTTGATATACTATTTGAAAGTCATAATATTGCGTCAGATGGAACATTTAAATCGTGCACACTACAATTTGAACAGTTGTACATTATTTTGGGATTCGAACTTGATCAAGGTAAGTGTTTTGATTGATAGGAGGATTGATAATTGATAGAGGAAAAGTCTTTTCACCAAAAACATTCATCAGTGATCTGAAGTTTCATTGTTCAATTCAGTTGCGACAGAGGTTAGTGAACTTGTATTAAAGTTTCCTTATGAGAAGTACTTACACTTTAAGTCCTTTCTTTCCTTCTTCTGCATTTATAGCTGCCCAAAACAATATTTCGTGGTTGTTTGTTTGATCATGGACAAGCATGTTACAGGGAAATTCAGCAAGTCGGTGTAATGAATGATCATAATGATGGTTGTGATATACATCAGTTTCTTCGTCAATTTCTCGCACTTCCACTACTACCACTCCACTTTGTACAACCAGTCTTTGATGAATTAAAGAAACAAGCTGAACAACAACAATTTTATGATGATCGTCTCAAATTGTTCATTCTGTACCTTGAAGCTGAATGGATGCAACGCTGGGGTCCAGTTGCATGGTGCGGTAAAAAATTAAGCGAAATGGATTTTACGGTAGATAAGTTCCATCACAAAAACCACAAGGATCCTTGGTGTCCCCGCCATACGGGTTCACATAAACACCCAATTGTATATGCAGTGAACACCGAAGTGTGCGAACAGACATTTCGCTGGCTAGCTTCCCATAAAAATATTTTTCGTTGTCTCAATCATGCGCGATTTATGTGGCTAATGATATTTGTGTATATAGTTCCCATGGTTTTGAAATTATGAATAGCTTCTATGGTTTTGCTAATAAACAGTTCCTATACTCCCTATAGTTTCGATATTACGAATCACTCGTATAGTACATGTGGAGCAGATGAAACTTTGTAGAAAAGTTCATAGTACTCAACCATGTAGATGAAAAAAACGTAAACTTCATTCCAGTTAACCATTCAGAGTTATATCACCTTTCGTACTCTTTTTTGTACTCATGTTTAGCCTCACATGGCGTCAATGGCATAACTACCATAAGAGATAAAGCCAAAATGCATTGTTTTGAAAGAGGACACTTGGGACTACTGACTCTTATTCGACTATATTCAAAATAATTCTTAGTCGGAGAAAAATATTTTTTTCATTCTCAAACGTTTTACTGTTTTCTCATATAATTTTACAGTTTCTCAGACAGTTCGACTTGACGTACGAGTCAAAAAAATTGACTAAGCAGAAAAAGAAAAACAGCCAACCGAGAATATATACACGAGCCAACAAAGGAACGGCCAACAAAGAACATTCAACTATCTATAATTCTTGATAGAGATAATATTAACAGAAGAGAAAAATTAGCTATATCTAGCCGCGTAGTTATCCATCAACACGTCATGAATAGTCGTGACGATAATACCTTGACAGAAATGTAGTTGAATCGGTTAACGAATCACAACTATCGAAAGGATAAACAGAAGACAGCTTGTGTAAGCGTGACGCTGTGACATTTTTGACACAGTAATTTGAGCTTTCTCAAAAAGTGTAAGAGCCAGAAACTTCGTTCTTGCGTCATTCGACGCAGCTCGCCATACTCTGCTTTTGGTACAAAAATGAAGGTATGTGGTTAAACATTCGAATTTTCAAAACCGTTTTTCGGCGTGTGACGTTACGAGAAAAAAAGGCCCTGAATTCGAAGTTCTTCTCATTAATTACTGTAATTTGCTGAGAATTTAGAAGAGCTACCGCGGGCCGCGGGGCGGGGGGGGGGGGGGGGGGGGGGGGGGGGGGGGGGGGGGGGGGGGGGGGGGGGGGGGGGGGGGGGGGGGGGGGGGGGGGGGGGGGG